TGTATGTGGTATTATAGGGAAATCACTAAGCTTTGTACTTAAGGTTTAAGTTTATGTTTCAGGTACTTTCGGATCAAAAGGGAATGGCCTAAACTGATCACAACACATCCACCAGTGTTCAACATTTTAATGATTTTTGGGATTGTACTCTGATAACTCTTTTCACATCGACATAATTTTTTGGTTTGATATGAATATTTGATGATTTCGATTGACTTAAAAATAAAAATTTTTACATATGAATTTTTTGACATTACACAACGATTATCATTCCGTTAATCACTTGTGCTCCGCCTCCAACATTTGCGAGTCGTGAGTTAGGAGATCCATAAACACTCACTTTTTCTGATCTAGCATGTTCTACATCATCAATCGAATTTCATGTATTGCAAGCCGAGCAACTCCTACTTTGGAGTTCTGAGGTGCTGGACCTCCTTTATTATTGACGACTCTACCGCTCCTTGTGATCGTAATGTCATTCTATACCCGTAGGTTAGTATCGTAATACATTACTTTACACACACACATACACACACACACACACACATATATATATATATATATATATATATATATATATATATATATATATATATATATATATCACATATTAGCAATTAAGGCATCTCCTATAGTATGCTTGTACCCATGACTGTAGCAATTTAGGCATCTATCCTAAAGCATTCTATAAAAATATTTAGCACATAAAAATAAGAGTAAATTACTGAAATGGTTCCTATGGTTTGGTCAAAATTGCACATTTGGTCATTGACTTTTCTTTTGCACTCGGATCATCCCTATGGTTTGATTTTGTTGCGTTTTTTGTCCCTTGTATACATTAAATTAGGGACCAAATGTGCAATTTTGACCAAACCATAGGGATGTAAAATGCCACCAAATCAAAATAGACGGACGATTCGAGTGCAAAATAAATGTTTGGGGCCAAACGTGCAATTTTAATTAAACCATAGGGACGATTTCAGTAATTTACTCTAAAAATAACTAAGGTACATTCCCTAAAGTATTCTAGTGATGGTGTCAATTCATATATTCTACCTAAAATAAAATAAATACACACCTCCCAATCATTGCTTAACATTCAAAGTTTAAGTTTAGAAATTATCACAATTACTAGTTCGCTTAAACTAACGATATGATACGAACTGCGACATCCCTAATTTTCATGACCATAAAAGACCTTTTTATTTGCGCTTATTCTTAATTAGAGTGATCTTTGTAAAATGCGGAATTTAACCCATAAAAAGCACTTCCAAAGAAAATGTTTTTAATTGATTATTAAAACTTGGGATGTCACAACAAATACAAAACATAATTATAAACATAATAATAACAGGCCTTAAATTAACTTAATGTACTAGTGACCTAAACTCCTCGAATTTTTCCGCAGATTGTACCTTCCTAACGCTACTTGTGATACAAAGAAACTGAGTAGGTGAGACTTGGGAGCCTGGTGAACACATACAGTTTCAACACACAATATTGTAATTATATAATTTTCAACAAAAAAAAAATACTAATCCTGATTACCCATTCCCTTTATTCTTACTCCCCAATTACTAATGATAATATCAAGAGACCAACCCTAAAGGATCTCTATGTGTAGACAATACCGCTTCAGGAATCCATAGCAATTGGTGTCAACAAGGCGGAGGGATAGAGTAATTGAATGAAAAACTTTCGTCTTTCCCTAAAAAGTATGATCATTAGCACCTATAGGTGGCGAAGCTGCTAGTATTTCACCGGATTAGCTTGAATAGTTAGTAGTCGTTTCCTAGACTTTGTTAGATGGCTGTTCTCGGTAAATCAATGCGTGACAATCACCATTTATTTTATTTTCCCAAAACCCTTCACTACCCAACTTAGTATTTTTTTTTTCCAAAACAATTCACTACCTAATGCGAATATAATAAAGTAATTTATATAAGTAAAATGATATCATATTATAGCACAATTATGAATTATACAGACATGAAGCACATATAGCATTTAATAGATACTTAAAATCTATGTGTAACAGAAAGTAGCAATGCACTCACCTGTTAAAAATGGATGACTTGGAATTCGGGCAATGCTTCGTGCTAACACTTAACTTTCCCGTTGTTGTGACCTAGGTTTATTTAGCACTGAGTCTTATTCTAATATTCCTTGAGACTGATGATAGTCTAGATTCATCACTAATACTAATGTCTATATTAAGATTTATCTTGTAAAAAATAATCAGGTAGGATCATATCATAGGTAGGGTCCATTTGGTATACAAAGTATACTGTTTGGAAATCCCAATTTAAAGACCTCACTAAATCCAGCCTATACATTATCCCCGTAAGTAGATCAATCAGTATAATGACTTGGATCACTAATAAATCTTATTTATAGGTTCATAATAATAACCATGAACTTAAATATAAGTTACACTTGAATTAACACAAGTATAGCTTAACTTATAGAGACTTTAGCGAAAACTGAAAAACTACGCGAACATAACTCCAACCCGAATACTTCTTCACATCAGGCTCCTAGAGCTCTAGAGGTTCTACTAAATTATTCTAAAAGATGAAAGAAAATCAAGTTGAAGAGCTAGAGAGGTTTTGAGAGAGATTAGAATGAATTTGTGAGGAGGATTGTGAAATTCGATAACTGCTTAAAGGAAAAATAAGGGTGCGTGCCATGCAAATAAGAGGGCATGTCACACCCTACGATGCTGCTGGCTCCTCTCCCCCTTTTTCCACGTGTCTCATCCAGGTCTGTCCACATCACCACTTCTAGAAGTATGCCACATGTCCCCTTTTGGTGGCTCTACTTGTCTCACTCTCGTGATGCCAGGCCCTGCCACATGGTGCACTTCGATGATGCCATGTCATTAGCACAATGTATTTGTCGCAGATCTTCAGAGGACCATCACCTTCACATACGAGCTTCGTTATTGATGTTCTTTATATCCCGAGAACCCTCTCGACGATTTGTACAACTTTTATTAAGGTCACATCAACTAATTTCTAATCTAACTGAAATTTATATTTTAGACCTGTTTATACTTTTAAAGTCCGTGCGAAATTCATAACTCCTTATGAACTCCGTTCCTGACCATCTTTATATCAATAACTTCATATTTATGAGATCTTCAATTCTCATTTAGGTTGTTTCGGATTACAATCAACCGATTTGAATTTCAATTTTTGTGCCCACACTGCTGCACTGAAACTTCGTAAAATCATAAATTCGTCTTACGAAGTTAGACTTGGACGTTCTCTAGATGTACAATCTTAGTTATACGACTACTACAAATATTATTTAGATCACGATCCACAAGAAACACATCTCCTCACTGTAAATCTCATTCTTCGTTATATTCACAATATTCTTGATTATGGGCTCCAAATACACCCCTCATCTATAACGACCCTCTTTACATAATCTTATGCAACTGATCGGGGGGGGGGGGGGTGCTGCCACTAGATGATCTAATAGTGGTTATTGCATGTTCCTTGGCGAAAACCTCCTATCTTAGTCTTCAAAGATTCAACAGACTGTCTCCCGCTCTAAAGTAGATGTGGAATACCGAGGTGTTGTCAATGTCGTAGCCAAAACCTGTTTGCTATGAAAGCTTCTTCGAGAACTACACTTACCGCTTGCCAAAGAAACCATTGTCTACATTGAGAATATATGTGTTGTATACCTATCGTGTTCTTCATGTTCCTTCATCCCTTTGTTAATGGTTGGATCCATGTTCTTCATGTTCCTTCATCCCTTTGGTATGCATACATCTTCACCAGAAGGCTACCAACATCTCTTTGTATATATTTTAGATCCTGTTTGAACGTATGTATACATCTTCACCTGAAGGCTACCAACATCGATCTCAAACTACCAAGGTGTATTAGTGTATATGTATGTATTGTATTATCAGGGACGGACCCAGGATTTTATAGTAGGTGTTGCCAGTGGCACATTTTATAGTAGAAAAAAGAAAAAAAATCGGAAATTTTGCATTACGTCGGGAAAAACTAGATGTTGCCGGTGCCACCGTTGGCACCATACTATATCTGTCCCTGTGTATTATCATATTTTGTGTAGCCCTATTATGTGTATTATTTAGTTAGTCCAATAGAGCCCATTGTACCTTGTAGATATTCGTATGATTAATTGAAATCCAATTCTGGAAAATCATAATCTTTTAATTTACGTCTAATACTATTTATGCATGAAGTCTAAAGTATTTGAATTTAACTCAACCGTATTTTAAACATATAGTTTTATTCAGCTCGCAAGTACGTACGTACCTTGTGGCTGGTGTAACAATTAACCAAGGAAAGCTAGGGTCCCAACATAATTGTATAAAAAAGATTAACTGTCTATCACTTTAGCATCTTAAAGACAAGAACATAACTTAAAAGAATTATAGGGGGTGTTTGGTAATGTTTAAAATGTGTACATATTTAAAATTAACATATATATCATCAGCCGTATCCAAATGTATGCAACCTAAATTTTTGGTCTATTATATGTATATTAGATTAGAAGACTAGGATGAATGTGCTCAACTTTTACTTACGTATGACTGAACCCGATTGTGATTATAACCCATTGTCGGTGCATCACCATCGTCTCTGAATGGCAAATGTGGAAAGATCGACGGCTGTAGGGTAACTGATAACTTATTAAGAAAATCCGACCATTCAATCGGAAATGCCATAGAACCAATAATATGAGCCAATAATTAACATGTTAAAGTTAAAGGATCGATACCTTCACTTTAAACGACGAGTTCGACTTTACCTCTAGCTTTTATTATTCTATCTTGCTTTGTTCTTTAATTTGTTTAGTTTATCCGTTTATTTTATAGCTGGGTAATTCATTTTTATAGAAAATACACGCCTCGTGAAACACGTGAGATGAAAAAAAAAAAGTTTATATAAAGATGATACCATCACTCTATTATGTAAACAAATTCATCATCTTGATTCCACCAACTTTTAGAGATGGGCAACATTCGTTCATTTCTACTCTTCATTTGCATCACTCTGATTCATCTCTTCGCTATCAATGGCGAAGTTGCTCCAGAAGAAACACTCAACACAATGACAGTTGGTGGTGGCGGTGCTCCATTGACAGAACCACTACTAGCCACCCGTGGTTTCCAAAGCGACCGACTAGCACAAGCCTATAAAGTAATCCAAGCATTCAAGAAAAAGGTGACATACGATCCCAAAAACATTACAAAAACATGGGTGGGAAAAAACATATGCAGAGATTACAAAGGGTTCATTTGCGACGTAGTACCAGATCTCAACAAAACCACCGTCGCCGGAGTCAACTTCAACAACAACAACTTCAATGGCCCTAACCTAACAGTCAGTGAGCTCTTAATCGGTTTGAAGGATCTCGCTTTCTTCCATGCAAACTCTAACAACTTCACCGGCATCATCCCCTCCGATATAAGCAGACTCCGTTACTTTTTGGAGCTTGATCTTAGTAACAACAATTTCTCCGGTATATTTCCCTACGAAGTCCTCCATGCCAAGAAGTTAGTATTCCTCGACCTCAGGTTCAACACTTTTCTCGGAGGAGTTCCTCCGCAGGTTTTCCTTCTCCAACTCGACTTGCTCTTCGTCAACAACAACAACTTCAGGCAAGCTCTCCCCAGGTACCTTGGTTTTACGCCGGCGCTTTATCTAACCCTGGCCAACAACAAATTCATCGGTGGAATCCCCAGGAGCATTGGTAGAGCTGCCAATACCCTACGGGAGGTTCTTTTCTTGAACAACAAGTTAAACGGTTGTTTGCCATATGAGATCGGACTTCTGAAGAAATCCACAGTGTTCGACGTCGGATTCAACAATCTAACAGGCCCAATCCCACACTCGTTTCAGTGCTTAAAGAAAATGGAACTTCTGAACTTGGCTCACAATAAGTTCTACAACGAGGTGCCGGAGGCTGTGTGCAGCTTGCCAAGGCTATATAATTTCACAGCAACGTATAATTATTTTACTCAGGTTGGGCCACAGTGTCGGAAGCTGATCAAGAACGGGGTTCTTAATGTCAAGATGAACTGCATTTCGGGTCTCCCAAATCAAAGATCACAGGCTGATTGTGCTAAATTCTTCTCGAATCGTCCTACTTGCCGACGTGAAAAATCTATGCATTATGTACCTTGCTCCAGAGGGAACTCTGCTAATGAATTGGAGTCCTCCGATGTTGAGTCAACTACGGCGGCGCCGGCGCCCGCTCCGCTAGGGCGAAGTTATGGTGCTCTTACGCCACATTAATTAATCTTGATGCGTATGATGGGATCTAAATTCGTGAAAGTGAACGACTATTGCTGTTTCTTAATGCATCATTATTATGGAAAAATAATTGGCATTGTTCCTCGATCGAGTTCTGTTGATTTAATTTTCTGATTTGTGTGCTGAGTATGATTATCAAAATAGTCTGTACGTAAACTTGTAATGATATGTGTGATCATATGTTGTCTTAATTTTATATCAGGAATAATGCAACTGAAAAAGGTTTATGCGCATCATATATGATTAACAAAACAACAATATTTCAGAAAATACTCATGTATTTCAAAAAAGTTGCAAGAAATTTCGAATTGAACTCAGTCTCCAAATACAAAATAATGATTATTTGTAAAATGTGTTTCAAAATGCTCCAAAGTGCAATCATCGTGAACCTCTTGTGATCGAATAATTGACAACATATATAAAGTAAGTAGCTGTAATGTTTAGGGTTTTAGAGGAAAAGAGAATGGATTCGTGACCTGTGCAATCTTCATTGTATTTCTTTATTGGACATCCAAGAAACCAAGAAAAAGAGCTGCTCTATTGATTTGAGAATCAAGTCTTTGTGGGGTAACTTCAATTTTGATATTGGAGGGGAAGGGAAAGCTATAGTGGTTGTTGTGTGTTTGGGACCCAACAAAGAAATACAATGAAGATTAATGACTACGGCCCTCTATTTGAGACTATAAAGTTGATATGTGGCATTCCATTTCGGCTATACTGTGAGGCTTTTCTTGAGCGATTTTTATGTCTTCGGGACTTCAACGAAGTGAGATGAAAGAATACGTTCAAGATTCCGTATGAAATAAGCATATGCTGGGGTGTATTAGTATAGGGAAAAAAGAGGTGGGAAATTGAAATACATATTTTTTTTGTTAAGTTAAACTAATGGTCTTTATAATTTAGGGTAATTTGTATGTTTAATCTCTAATTATTATTATTTTATTTTATTTTATTTTTTTTAAATTCGAAAGATCCCTAAAATTTGTTTTTGTGCTTACTTGGTCTCTATTTTACCTAAAAAGACTAATTTGCCTTGATATTTAATTTATTTTAATAAAGTGGAATAGATAAGGTGAGATGAAAATGGGGTTGCGAGTATGTTTATTTAAATAAATTAAAAAATCAAAGACAAAATAGTTTTTTTTAAGGTAAGATAAAGACTAAACGCGTAACAAAAAACAAACAATAGATACTTTTCGAGTTAAAAAAATAAACTAAGGACCAAACGTGCAAATTATTCCAAACCATAGGGACCATTTCTGTAATTTACTCTTTATTCTTTTGTTTGTTTGTTTTTTCATTGAGAAACGTCATTTTTATTCTCTATTATTTATAGGAAATGGTGGAAAATAACATGTAAGCTCATCAGAAAAATAGGAAAAATTGAATAACATAAAATAAAAACGGGAGAACTATAGAACAATAAAGCTCTCCTCATTTCGATCCCTAAGACCATATCCAATGCATTGAACTCACATGAGTTCAATGGATTGACACATGTATATTACACTCATTATACAATTTTACCCATTAAACTCTACATTCCATTAAACTCTATACAATTTAATGGATTGCGTAACGTCACAAATTTCGAGTCCGAAAATTTCATTTTTAAAGTAAATAATTTATAGAATCGTTTACTAAAAACATCGTAGATATCATATCAATCCGAAAACCATCATAAACATGTCTCAGATATCAATTCATCAACAGTAATAAAATCAGAGTACAATCCCATGAATCACATAGTGTGGAAAACTGATGTCTGTGTGATGAGCAGCTACCGCGCCGACTCCTCCCCCTTCGCTGAAGAGGTACCTGAAACGAAAACTGAAAACTGTAAACACGAAGCTTAGTGAGTTCCCCCATCATACTACATACTATACAAAACACATACTGTCAGGCATAACGGGGTGCCTGACCTACCCCATGTTAGGCATATATGGGTGCCCAACCTACCCTGATGAGCATACCGGGGTGCTCAACCTACCCCTGTTAGGCATACCGGGGTGCCAAACCTACCCTTGTTAGGCATATATGGGGGCCCAGCCTACCCATTCGGTCCAGCCGATCGGTAACTGGGGACTATTTCACCCTTTACTACTACCACATAATATCATATCACATATATCATAATCTGTCTAGCATAGTTGGGTACTAATCTAACCCTTCAGCCCTATCAACCGGTAACTGGGGACTATTTCCCCCTAATACCACTATCACATAACCACATATCATGCTAGCACACAGAACATATCAGATAGTGGCTAACCAGGCAATTATCACAAATACAATTATCTAACAAACAACTCTTACTGGTGGGTCGGCATTGTGGCCTTAGACCCATTTCTACTGAAAGGTAACTTACCTTGATGTTGTGTAGTATCCGCACAGTCCTCGGCACGGGTATCAACTCGTCTCGACTCCTCAATCTCTATACAATGATCTTTCTCGATTACAATGTATACTAATAACCCTTACAGGGGTCAACCCAAACCCAAGTCAAAGTCAAGGTCAAATTCAACCTCTAGTTGGCTCGACTCGCCGAGTTGAACCACCAACTTGTCGAGTCCTTATTCCATTATCAGCCCCTAACCCAACTATACTCGTCAAGTCTAGAAAAAACTCGACGAGTTATTCTTCAACCATAATATCGGGACAATCTTCATCTGACTTGCCAAGTTCTTCCTTGAACTCGTCGAGTTCAGCTTCCTCACATAAACTTGTCTAGTCTATGACTCTACGAATTGTATGAAAAACTCGTCGAGTCCGTCCTCATGGGTTGGGAGATTGCCTTAGACTCGCCGAGTCCTATGATTTCTAGGTCCAAAACAAACCCTTAGTAGGCTGAGCGTTCCTTCGACTCAACCAAAACAATTTCTAGAAGATGATTTTGGGGGAAAAAGCGTCCCGACTCACCGAGCACCCAAGTGACTCGTTGAGTCCCTCTTTTTCAAAAACTATACAGTCGATTATGATGGGTCTTAACGCATCAAAACTATAGATCTGGCCTCCTAGGGTCCCTTTTTCACGTAAAGCTAAAAACTTAATGTCCATGCATGGGTCTTTAAGCTCAAAAGACCCAAACATGAGGTATACAATGTGAATGGGGCTCTCATAGCCATAAAGTTGGCACCTTTATGCCATGAGGACCCTTCAAGGCCCAAGATCTGAAGCCTTTACACTTCACTATGCTCTAGAACCCGAGATAGCTTAGAAATGTCCTAAGGATGTCAAGTTCCAAGCCCTAAAATGGATATATCAAATGGAAGACCAAGGCTGGAGCTTTTTACCTTATATGAACTGGAGATGGAACACAACCTATGGATCCACTAGCCTTAGCTCGATCTCTCAAGCTCCTTCCTTCTTCTCAAGCTTCATAACCATCAAATGCATAACAAAATGGCTTAATAATGCTCAAAAACACCCAGGGTTTCATTTTAGGGCCTTCTGGAAGTAAGAGGGATGATAAAGGATAGTTGGGGAGAAGGTAAGTTGTTTAAATAGGGTGCAAACCCTAACTATTAGGGTTTTGTCTAAACATCTCCTACTCGTAGAGTCGGTCTTCCGACTCGTCGAGTAGGCCACTAAACCCCGTGTCCAAAGTCGATTTCACTCAATGAGTTGGGCCTCCAACTCACCGATTCCTAGGCCAAATGTGATAATTACTTGAATAATAATAATAAAAAACATACTAGGAACCAGATGCTACAAATCTCCCTTACTTACTTTAGACTTCATCCTCAAAGTCCGCTGCTGGATCTGGGAACAGTTCGGGGTAGTGCTCCCTCATTTCGTCCTCCGACTCCCACGTCCATTCTGAGCCCTTTCGGTGATGTCATTGCACCTTCACTAGCTCGACCCTCTTGTTCCTCAAATCCTTCGACTTCCGGTCGAGGATTGCTACAGGCCACTCGATGTAGTTCAGGCTGTCATCTACCTGAATATATTCCAAGGGTACCACAGCCGAGTCATATACTAGGCACTTCTGCAACTGGGAGACATTGAACGTGTTGTGAATCTGACTGAGTTCGGCCGGTAGGTCCAGCCGATATGCCACCTTGCCCACCTGGGCTATAACCTTAAAAGGTCCAATTTATATGGGGCCTAACTTGCCCTGCTTCCTAAACCGGATGAAGCCTTACCAAGGCGACACCTTCAAAAGCACCATGTCCCCGACTTGGAATTCCAGGTCCGACCGTCGCTTGTCGGCATAACTCTTCTGCCGACTCTGAGCAGTATGAAGCCTGCTCCTAACCTGTTAAATCCTCTCCGTTGTCTTAAGCACCACTTCGATGCTCCCCATGACCCTTTGTCCAACCTCACCCCAACATATTGGCATCCTGCATTTCTTCCCGTACAACATCTCAAAGGGAAGACGATCGATACTCATGTGGTAGCTGTTGTTGTAGGAGAACTCAACTAATGGGAGGTAGGTGTGCCAGCTACCACCAAAGTCTAGTACGTATGCCCATAGCATATCTTCTAGAGTCTAGATGGTTCACTCACTCAGACTATCCGTCTGCGGGTGAAAAGCGGTGCTAAAGTGTAGACGAGTACCCAACTCACCGTGGAATTTCTTCTGGAATCTGGAAGTAAACCGCACATCTCTGTCAGAAATCACGGAGACTGGCACTCCATGTCGAGCCACAACTTATCGAATGTAGATGTCGTCTAGCTTCTCGACTGATATGCTCTCCTGGATCAGTATGAAATGGGCACTCTTGGTCAATCGATCCACGATGACCCGTATGGAATCTACTCCCCACGCGGACGTGGTCCTGGGAAGTTTGGTTATGAAATCCATGGTAATATCTTCCCATTTCCACATGAGGATATCTAGCGGCTGCATCTTGTTGTGTGGCCTCTGGTGTTCAGCCTTGACCTTCCTGCAGGTCAAGCACCACTCCACATACCATGCTACATCCCGCTCCATGCAGGGCCACCAATAATCAGGGCAGAGATCCCTATACATCTTCGTC